GTCCACTAATAATCAAGGGTAAGGAAAAACGCATTTTCAAATTAAGGTCCATCGTCCTTGCTCAAGCACAAAGCTGCTGAGGGGCAGAAAATACCCAACAGCCGAGAAGCTTGAGCGCCTTATAAACATGTGAAAAAACACAAATGCATTTGCAGCACAGAGTTGCTGGGGAGCTCAACCTCCACAAGTGGCTTGTCACCAACAAGGACTTCTGCTGGGACAAGAAACAGGAGACCAGTACAGTAAAAACGACAGACGGATCTCTCCTCCTGAAAGCCTGGCAGGGTCCCGGCCCTGATAACATACAGGCGTTCCGTCAGCGCGATGTACAGTACATACCGCATCAGCTGGAGCCGATGTGCAGCTTTACTCTCAGAAGCAGGTTAGCAAAAACTGACGTGCTGAAACTTGCAGAACCCTGGTTTATGTGGATTATTGGTCTCCATATTGGAGTTGACGACCAGTTGTCCCCAGAACAGTTGGCAGAGGCTTCTGCACACCAGCCGCTTTCAATTTCAGCGGCCATCAAAGCCTGAGGGGACTGTGCTACAACTGATACACTTAAAACTTAGGGCAGAAAATGATTTGACAATCCTGACATGTTGCATCTCTTCTGTCCAGTAATAACCGACATCTACACGATACTGAGGCCAGCCCATCACCGCAGGTCTGCTGTGCTGATGTACTTGGACAGACAGAACTAATCATGACTTGGCTCCAGGCCCAGTCAGCTCCAGTCACTGCTGTAGTACATGGAGTCTCCTTCAGTGGCAGGAGCCCTGTATTAAACACCTGCACCACAAGGATTAAAAAAAAAAACAGATCGCCAGGATAGGGGAGGGAGGGAAAAGTGTTTTATCCCCCAACCGCTGTAAGCAGTAACAGAATGGCTTTACGCCCGTGACCAACAGTCACTTCCCTGGCAAGACACCAACCAAAGGGAACACCACAGCTCGACACCAGGTGCTTGGTAAACGCCCCACCTTCCAGCTAATGGCTGTTAAAAAACACTTGGCGACATTCATTGGTACTAAAAGGTTTTCTTAAAAAAAAATCACTCCCATGCCCTACCACAGACAACTCATTGTTCTCTGTCCCCCAAATCGGCAGTTAAGTGAACTCCACAAACAAGACACTGCAGTCAATTGGTCTTAAAAGTCACAGGGGGAGGTTAATTCCACACTGAAAAGTGAAAAAAGCAGTGGTATCGTTTTTTCAGTAGTTCAAGTAGGTAGCTGTGTCAGCGTACATAAGGCTGCAAGGGAACAAGTCAAGTTGTATTCCCTGCTGACAAAAAGAGAGGAAACGAAAACGTTTCGGCTGTGGAGTCTTCTTGAAGTGTCAAGGCTCCACAGCCGAAACGTTTCTTTTTCCCCCTCTTTTCAGCAGGGAATAAACCTTTACTTTTTTTTCCCAGTGCTGAATTAACCCCTCTGTGCTCCTTTGTAGCCCACACGCTATCACCACCCCCTTCAAACCTCTTCAACAAAGATGGCGATGCTGCCCCCCGTCTCTCCATGTGCAAGCACACCCACTGGTCTTTGTGGGTGCAGCTTCCCAGACTCTGGAGCCCCACAGAAATGCACAGCTGGCTGGCAGGAGTACAAATCGGCACGCTCCCATCCACGAACACCAGCTTCTGGGAGAAATATGAACCTGCCTCATTTTAAGGCCTGGACTGACACCCTGCAGATACATCAAGTCTTGGAGTCTTGGCAACCTGCACACCTCAACAAGAGCAGAAAGCAGTCCTGCGCTTCACACCATTTATCCTGGAATGCTTATTTCATGATGAGCAACAGAACAGAGAGTTATCACACCCAGAACCATTAGAAACAAGTGCTATTGGTTCCAATACACTTTTAATGGATCTCAGTAGTTCCAAAAGCATGAAAGGTCGCACGCCCTCCTTCACTTGACTCGCATTAAGAGTGAAACAGAACACAGCAAGCATACCAGGGTTTAAACCACCCGCTACCCGTTAAGAATCCTTTTCAAATTTAGCAACAATCTCAGAATTAAGGGAGTGTAAAAAAAAGCAGTGGCCAGCAAAGACAAACCAAAGCTTTCAGGCTCTTTTCTTGTGTTCATGAGAAAATCAACCATTAATCAAAAATCAAACATTAATGAGAAAGTCAACCACAGTTCATTTCTTTCAGATTTCCTCAACTGAGCTTCTCTGATCTTTAACAAGACACTAAGTTCGCCTCTTGCCTGTTAGTCTCATCTTTCCAGTCCAGAGAGCCAACAGCTCGTCCTGTGTTGATCTGTGGTCAAATGCCTTCAGATTTCACAGGAACAGTGACAGAGCTGGCTTTGCAGAAGGGAGCTTTCAGGCTGCCAAGAGCAAACACTGAGTCACACCAGGAAAACTGCAACGTCCTTGAGCCGATCTCCGGCCTTGCAAATAAGAGAGGCAATGAACAAATGAAAAACATCCTGTTTGCTGTGCATGATTGGCGTGACACTGAGGTGGTCTCAATTACCTCTCTATGGCCCAGGTAGCAGAGGTCAGCCCCGTTCCCATGGTCATGCACAAGCAGGCTGAACTGCTTTTAAAGCCTCCATTACGACAGGTCTCAGTCCGCAGACAGCAGCAGCTTGGCTGCAAGGAGGCTTTGTCTATAGGAAATCGATGGTGATCTGCTTAAATCACAACACAAAAGGCTGCCCCCCTCTTCAGCAGCGTTAATCTAGTTCATTAATTAGAGTCCAGCCCTTTGAAAGCTTTATAAAAGCTGTGCATCCTTAATGTGCAGACTAGTTTTACCTTGAGTCATTTTCTAAAAAAGGTATCCCCACCTTTATGCGAGGGAAAGAAAGGCTTCCTTTTAAAAAAAAAAAAACGACAACTAGCCAGATTTTGAGTCTTTAAACAGCTCGAGAACCAGGTATTTATACAAAAATGAAAACTTAACCAGGTGTTAAAACAGAAGCGCAGATCT